TAAAAAAGCAGCACTTTGGAGGATTTTGCCGGCATCCCTTTGATCACTTTTATTTGTATATGAATTTTGTAGCTCATGACAACACTACAATAATCAAAATTTGAAATTCAACTAAAGAATTTTTTTTGCGTATCGAACCCCGCAATGCGGGATTCTTCCGTAGTTATAATTAATTTGAACAATAGATACTATAACACTTACTAAAATCGAATCATTTAATGGTATCTACTAACGTTTTACATGCGTATAAAATTAGTTATATTTCTCATTTATTTTAATTAATTAATGTTATGATTTATTATCTTTAAAAAATATTGATGGGGTTTTAATTTCTCATGATTGTCATTTAAATTATCAATCATTGTTTGTGATTTAACATAATTTAATTTATAACTTTATGTTATTTTAACTATTATTATAATAAATTAATTTAAAAATAACTTAACTGAATTTTAGTTATTATAAAAAAATAGTTTTAGAGATCTTTTAGTTAACTATACTTTTAGATTTATGTTATTTTACGTTTATTTTATTAAATATTTTCTTTTTAACTATTGTAAAAAATATACATTGAGTTTTTTAAAAACTTTATTTGATATTTTACTTTACGTTTTCAATTTTATATTATATTTTTAAGATTATTTGATATATTAATTTAGGTTATGTATTTAACACTATATTGAAGTTATTGATAATTCAAGAAGTCTTCCATTTATGATAATATTTATAATTAATAATATATTTGAGTTAGAAAGTATATTATAGGGAAATATGAAAAGTTCGGAGTTTCAAATTGATGTGATGAAAGGCAAATGTTTCTTTTATAAGTATATTATGATATGATTAGACGAATATCCGCTTGTTGCGCATAATATAACAATGTATTTGAAATCTTTATAAATATATGTTTTTAAATATATCAATGACATTGTTGTTAGCTCTTATATAATAAATCTTATAATAAGTTAGTATAAACATTGTTTGTTTTAAATTATATGATAATGTAGACATTCTTTAAAATGATGTAATAAGAATTGTCTCAGTGGTATCTACATGCGGATTACTCATTAATAAAATTAAATATAATATATGGCTTAATGATATTTATAGTTATTATTATGATTAACTGATTTTAAAATGTTTAACTGCTTAAGATTTTAATTTATATCATTGTAATTATTTAAAACATCAAACATTGTTTTTGTTTTTAAAGGCAACAATATAATTTTTTTTATATATAATGTTACTTTTAACTATTGTTGTTGTAAGTTATTTAAAATAACGTATTTGCTTAATTATTTTAATTTGGTTTCAGAAATTTAACTTGTTTAAAATTTATTTGATTAGTTTATTATTTAAAACAACAAACATTGTTTTCATTTTTAAATATAACATTATAATTTTTTTTATCTAATACTAAATTTAACTATTCTTATTATAAGTTATTTTTAAGCTAACTATTTGAAAATTCTTAATTATTATAAAAAATAATTTCATGGTTTGTTTTGTTAATTTAGGCCTACAATTTAGGTTTAACACTGAAGTTTATAACTTTTAAATATTTATAAAATAATCACTCAATTTTTTTTCCAAATTTAATTGAAAATTTGATTTAAGTTAACCGTTTAACATTATATTGAAAATAATAATTTAACTATTTTTCATTAAATCATAAACTATACAAAATTTGTGACTTTAAAATGACAATTGCTCACATACGACAACATATTTAAACTAATAAATTAACTATAAAAGTTAAAGTCATAATTTTATAAATAGAAGTAAATTATGATATTTTAATATTGTAGTTTTGTTAACTTATGATTAGAATTTAGTTTTTGCATTAATTTAATATTATTAACAAATTTATAAAAATTATTAGAAATAAATAGAAAAGTTATGGAAGTTTCAAATGTATGTGGTGCAAGTAAAAATACATATTTTATAAGTATATATAGATATAGATAGATAGATAGAAGATATAGATATTGTTAAGTTGCATTTCAACTTGCATGCACCTTTTTTAGGGTGATAATTATCAACCCAATCCATAACCCGACATTAACTAAACATGAAAATAAACAGATTTAGGTTGAGATTACTGACCAGTCAACCCGCTAACCAGCCAACTAATTTATTTTATTGGTTGAATTAGGTTACCTGTTTGGGTTTGCGGGTAAACCCGCCAACTCAACTATATTTGTTATATTTAAAAAAAAATTAACCTTTTATTTATGAATTAATAAAATATAGTCAATATATGAAATCAAAAACCTATTTTTTTCAAATATGTTATTAACTTATTAGGTTAGATTTATATTTGGTTATTCAGTTCATTATAAGCAATGTTAAATCTTAATTATTAATTAATTTAATAACGTGTATAATTCGTATAAATTTAACATGTGAAAATTTAAACAAAAACAACTCATCACCTATTTGACCTGAAATCGATTCATTGACCCACAAACCTATCAATCCACTAACACGTATTCCGTCAACCCACCAACTCATATATTATATGGGTTGGATTGCGTCAATGTAATCATACCCATCAATTCGTCAATCTAAACCTAACCCAATTGTGAGGCCTACTTTTTTCATATTTTTTCATATCATTTTGCATATTTCATTATACATGTTTGCTTCGTAATCGTGCATTGCATCATATGTATGGATTATACTTTAAATTTTGTTATGGGTTACCTTGTGAAAGTGGTTAAAATCCTATTTTTGTTTTGTTTTGTTTATGTTCACCAAACACTTTGTTTCGTTATGTCCTACCTACCAAAATATATTCTTAGACCACTCTTATCCCGTTTAATTTTACATAAACTATCTAACAACTAATCAGAGTTGTCAAAAAAAGGTTATTGATCCTTTAACGAAGTACTAAAGCCGGTGGATTAGGAATAAGACAAATTTTGAATTTAATGACTTTTGAGAAAAATAGGGAGAACGAATCCTAAGATGATGTAATCAGATCAGGACAAAAAGACAATAATATAGTTTAATAAAAGTTGATCACGGTTTAATTAAATTAATTAATTTTGGATTTATTATTTTTAATTGAACGACATGACCAACATAGACACCTAACGTCGTTACCAACAAAATTAAAAATTTCAATTTCACCCCTTTTACTTATCTTACACATCATTATTAATCCTTTACTTATACGACATTTTCATTTTTGGTTTTTTTTATTAGAAATTCAATATGAGAAAATAGTTCAGAGGGATAATGGCTTAAAAGGATAATATATTTTTCGATTTGTACACATTTGGTCACTGAATTTATTTTTTGTTCACATTTACCCTTTCAACTTGTTAAATTGTACACATTCAGTCTTTATGACCGGTTATTTCATGTTAACCGGTAAAAATATCTTAATATGGTAATACATTTTTCATTTTGTACACATTTAGTCGTTAATACTTTTGTACATATTTAGTTCTTAATTATTTTTTGTTGCAAAATAATTAATTTTGTTCTTGTACTCATTCAATACTTATAAATATTTTTTTAAGTTTTTTCTCACAACATCTTACATGGAACAATTATTAACGAGGTGTTTTGGGCTTTTGATACTTATGTCCATCGCTATCTCGACTACTTGGTTGCTTAGGTTATGTGTTTTGAACGTCATAATTTTTTCATACTATCTCGGATTTTAACGATCTTTATATCTATGCGTTTGTGTTTCATTCTACTACAACTTTCGTTTAGATTACTCCATTTAAAAAGTAATATATTTTTTAATTACGATCTTTATATCCATACGTTTTTTATGAATGCATGTATGAATGTTTTTTTTTATAAAATCGTAAGTAAAAACATATTATATTTTAACAGGAGTAATCTTAATGAAAGTTATAACAGACTTAAAAAACGAACATGTAGATATATAGATCGTTAAAATCAGATATCGTATGAATAAGTTACGACGTCCGGAATACAAAACCTAAGTCACACCACAAGACATATGTAACCAAGCAGGCGAGATCGCGATGAACATAAGGATCAACAACCCCAAACACCTCATCAATCAGGGACGAACGCTGGATTTGGTAGTATGTGTTGCTGGTGCGTAGTAGGTATTGTCGGTAAGTAGAAAAAAAAATATCGAAAAATTTACATTGCGTACAGAAAAAACAGGGGTTGTCGGTGTCACTGCGGGCACCCAAAAAGAACCATTATTATCATCAATGATAGTTTCATATTAGATGTCATGAGAAAAACCTTAAATAAATCATTCATAAGTACTGAATTGGTACAAAAACCAAAAATGATTTATTATATATATATATATATATATATATATATATATATATATTAAGGACTAAATGTGTACAAAATGAGAAATATATTACCCTAATAAGTCATTTTTCACGGTTAACCTGGAGTAACCGGTCATAAGAACTGGATGTGTATATTTTAACAAGTTGAATGGGTAAATACGAACGAAAAAAAAAAAAAAAAAAAACATTCAGTAACCAAATATGTACAAATCAAAAAATATATATTACTTTTTTAAATCATTATCCCTAGTTCATAGTCCTACTAATATTTTGGTTGCGGGATAACAATTTTACTGTGCATACTATTTTGCAAAAATGAATATAAGTAAATATCAATTTGAATGATTCGAAAACAGAAGGACTTACTTGAACTTTAGAAAAACATGAAGGGGTATAAGTGAAAGTATACTAAAAAAAGCCAACAGCCTTTTCCTTGCTGGTAATCTTCTTCCTTCCATTATTATCTATCCGCGGTCCTCCATTGATGATCTTCGTGAAGCTCATGGTGTGACTGACACAGACAGGTCCTTCAACCCTCATCCTTCTGCAACCCTCTTATCTGGACGTATTTTGTTGTCCTTACCCACGTCCTATTCTTGTCAATTTCTCCCTCAATTCCATCCCCCTTTTTCAATATTCCCCCGCCCCACCACCACCACCACCACCATCATCACCATCACCATCTCCACCACTTCAATCATGCTTCAGTCTCTTCTCCTTCAACACCCTCTCACCACCACTAATGTTAGCAGCCCTAATTCCTCACCAGTCACAGTCAACGCTTCCACTATGAACGCAAACACCTCTAAACGAGCCATCAACGAAGGAAACAACGACGTTGATGATGATCCTTCGTCTCACCACCATAAACGACGGAACCTCGAAGATAAACAGGAGGAGCATGAGGACCAGTCGATCCTCGTTGAAGCGGAATCATCTGGTTTAAGACTTTTAGGGTTGTTGCTACAGTGCGCCGAGAGCGTAGCGGTTGATAACCTAGACCACGCGAATAATCTTTTACCGGAAATATCGGAATTGTCTTCTCCGTTTGGTTCTTCGCCGGAACGTGTAGCGGCGTACTTCGCCGAAGCGTTACAGGCGAGAATTATCAGTTCTTACCTCGGAACCTATACGCCTCTCAGCATCAAAAGATTAGCCCTAGTTCAAAGCCAGAAGATCTGCAACGCTCTTCAGTCCTACAATTCAATAAGTCCTTTCATCAAATTCTCCCATTTCACAGCGAATCAAGCGATTTTCCAAGCGCTAGAAGGTGAAGATGGCGTCCATATCATCGATCTCGACATAATGCAAGGTCTCCAATGGCCTGGATTGTTCCACATCCTTGCCTCTCGACCTCGCAAAATCAAATCTCTTAGAATCACAGGCGTCGGATCTTCCATCGAACTTCTCGAAGCCACCGGCCGCCGTCTCCATGACTTTGCAAACTCTCTCGGCCTCCCCTTCGAATTCACCCCTCTCGAAGGAAAAATCGGAAACATCAATTCGGATCTCACGACTCAACTAGGCGTCAGACCCGGTGAAACGATGGTCGTCCACTGGATGCACCACTGTCTCTACGACGTCACCGGCAGCGACTTCGGTACCTTACGACTATTAACCTTACTAAAACCTAAACTCATCACAATCGTCGAACAAGATCTGAGCCACGGCGGCAGTTTTCTAGGGCGGTTCGTTGAAGCGTTGCATTACTACTCCGCCTTGTTCGACGCTCTAGGCGACGGACTGGAGTCCGAAAACGTCGAACGGCACACGGTGGAGCAACAGCTGTTTGGATGTGAAATAAAAAACATCGTCGCCGTCGGCGGGCCAAAGAGGACCGGCGAAGTGAAGGTTGAGAGATGGGGAGAAGAATTGGTTCGGGTCGGATTTAAACCCGTTTCATTAGCGGGTAACCCGGCAGCACAAGCGAGTTTATTACTGGGAATGTTTCCGTGGAAAGGGTACACGTTAGTAGAGGAGAACGGTTGTTTGAAATTAGGTTGGAAAGATTTGTCGTTGTTGACTGCGTCTGCATGGCAGCCGTCCGATTTTCAATAGAGTCAACGATGGTGTTGGATCAACGGTGGAGATTGAAACACTTTGAAATAATAATAAATTCCAAAAATGTAAAAAGATGCTTTAATTTTTTTTATATATATATAATAAAAAAATCGTTCTTTAATTGTGGATAATACAAAGCAATTTTTGAGATTACTTTTTGTCTTCAATATTCTCATGAATGTGGTCATTGGTTCCTCGAAACTATTCGTGGTATGGATAAGAAAAGGGCAAAGTGGAATATATTTTCTTTTCAGCTTGCTATTAATATATTTAGTTTATTTTATTTTAAATCTATAATAAACCAAAAATAAAGATAAAACTACAAATTTGATCTATGTGGTATTTAAAAACCTTTGGATAGAGTCCAAAATTTTTCAAATTGCATGGAAAATTCAAAATCAAAATGTTTCTGTTTTTTGATCCAAAAAAACTTAAAAAGATGATTATGTATTTTTAATTTTTTTTCTTTTTCTATAATTACTTTAATGTTATTTTAATAAAAAAAAAGCAAAAAGCATTGGAGCAACCACCTATCCCCACCACTCACTCACTCACTCTCTCTCTCTCTCTCTCTCTCTCTCTCTCTCTCTCTCTCTCTCTCTCTCTCTCTCTCTCTCTCTCTCCTTCTTCCACATCTATCATATGAAAATCAGGAAAAAAAACAACTCAGATTGTTTTTTACTTTGCTACTAAGATTACACACACAAGGAGTCTCCAAAAAATTAGGTTCTTAAGATTTTTTTTTGCCCAACTTCGAAAACAAAACTAATGTTATTGAGATCAAAAACGCACACACCCCACCTTTAAATCTACAACTTCAGTTATTTACAAACAATGATGCACATTTCCTTTATCATCTTTCAGCATACACCCAACCCTCTAAATTATCTCGATGGATATCATTGTCCTGCTCAAATATTTACAAACAATGATCATAAATTTTGGGAATTGATCATTAGTAAGTTAGGGTTAGGTATTATTGAATCTGTTGATAATGTTTTCAAGAAAATTGAATGGTTCAAGAGCATTGATGAACAAGGGCATACCTGTCACCCATAGGCTTCGTGAAGATCTGAAGCAAAGTCCCCTAATCATCTCTATCGAGTAATATTCCTAACTCCTTACACTTTGTAATATGTTTATATGTGAATACATCTCATACTCTATTCTTCAAATTCAGAGAGCACGACATCATTATTTCTAAGGGTGATTGGGAGAGAAGAGGGTGTAGCATCGTGGGGGACACTAGAGATGAAAGCAATTCTGCCTTCTTTGACTTCATTGACGATTGAGTAGACTGGGAGGTCGTGACTAGCGGTGATGCTACGGTGGTTAGTGTGGGAAAACATCGAGATATGAAGGTAATGAAGATGAAGAAATGTCGAGCGGTGTTGGTGGCGTCGAACGTAGGATTTGCTCGGATGAAGTTTTTGATTGTTGAATCCATTAGGATTTAGGCTTCATGACGAGAATGGGTGTGACGCAGCCGACCTCTTTTTTTATGTGAGAGAGAGAGAGGGGCTACTTTTTTTCTTTTATATTTAAAAAATTCTCCAAATACTAAGGAAACAAATCAAAGAAGAATAAAAAAAACCAAAAATAAAATTAAAAGGGTATAATGATCTTTTCAAGTTTTTTTGGACCAAAAACACAGAAACATTTTGATTTTGGATCTTCCATTCAAGTTGAAAAACTTTTGGACCCTATCCAAAGGTTTTTAAATACCATAAGGACCAAATTTGTAGCTTTGTCAAAATAAATTTATTCATAATAGTAATCTATTTGTATAGACAAATGATGACTATTTTCAATTACCCACCGTGCGGCGCATGGCAAGCTAGTTGCATGCTTTTGTCTTGGCAGCATAGACAAGCTCAAACTTTTTTTTTTATGGGGAGATAATTTGTATACAATAAATTTTTTTGTATATAATAATGCATGTTTTAAAATGTTATACTGTACAACTCAATAATACATAAATTGTTGTATATGACAAAAAACTATTGTGTATGACAAAAAATTGTTGATGTGGCGAATGGTGATGATGTATATTAAAAAAAGGAGGAGCGAGAATGATAGAAGCAATAATTTGTATGGAATTAATTACAGAGATATAATTTGAAATTTGTTTGGATCTATTTATAATTTGAATGTACAACTAATTAAGGAGATAAATACGGGATAATGATAATAACACTTTCACATATGGGTTTGAATATGTATGGATAATGTGGAGGTGGCGGCTTATATCTTAATATGTTCCTGAAAGATGGATGATCCATAGAGGAGACTAATATTAGATATTAAGTAATGATGCATCGGTTTTAAGAAAGATTTTGTGATGCATCGGCTAACTGGTCATTACCTGTGATATGCTGAAACTCGAAGAGTTCCTTGTTGAGCTTTTTCTCGTACAAAGTGGAAACCTAAGGCAAGGTGTTTCATGCGTGAATGAAAAATTGGATTTACAGAGAACAAATTTGCACTCAAATTGTCACAATAAATAGAGGAGGTTGTAGTTGATGAGAAACCAAGGTCACTAAGAAGTAAGATAATCCATTGGACCTCAGTGTAGGGATGAGCATCGAAACAGGGCACCCGCTTTTAGAATAGTAACTAACTCGGAACCGTCGGTTCTAGAATCGAAATCGCCTTAAGTGGTTCTGGTTCTAGTTCTCATTTTTACGGAATCGCTATCCGTTGAATACCCGCCATATATATATATATATATATATATATATATATATATATATATATATATATATATATATATATATATATATATATATATAAGGGTTATATGGAAAACAAAAAAACCCCAAAAAATCATAAAAACGCATAAAAAATACTTAGAGATCACAAAACTATTTTTTGAATTTAGATATGAAAAAATCGCTTATTTATTTAAAAATTCGTTGAAATAAATCAATTTTTTTTTTTGAAAAAAAAAATCAGCGAATTTGAAGTAAAAGGTGCGATTTTTTCAATTTTTTTTTTTGTAATCTATAAGTATTTTTTATGCATTTTTATTATTTTTAGGATTTTTTATTTTTCATAAAACCTATATATATATATATATATATATATATATATATATATATATATATATATATATATATATATATATTATATATATATATATATATATATATATATATATATATATATATATATATATATATATATATATATATATATATATATATCATGAATTACATCATTTAAAATTTTAGGTAATTTTTACAAAAACCTTTATTCACAATTGAATGTATTATTTGATATAAATATTTGAGTACTTTATTTTTGTTAATAAAACTTATAATAAATAAAAACATAAGCTTTCTATCACACTTTCCTTATAAATTATAAACAAAAATAATAATAATAAATTATTTATTGAATAATAATCTGTTTTTTTCTAATAATATGTTTAATTTTTTTATGTTAGTTTAGTGCATATTGATATGTGTATTTTTATACATATTTTTATATATTATATCTTAATATTTTAGTCTTTATTATTCTTATTTAGAACTAAAAGGTAATTATAAAGCTTTGAATTATAATTTACAATTATCAGTTGTCGATAGAGCGGAAAAGAAAGGATTGGAAAAGCCAACACATGTTATAGTGTATTTGTGGCTTCCCATTTCCTAGTGAAAAGCCATGAGATATGAAAAGCTAATCTGGTAGTTTATATGACATAACCTGTTTTGCAGCTTAAATTTGAAATCTATCAAGGAAAGCTTATGTAGTCATTGCACATAGACTAATACATTTAGCCAATAAGGGTTGATGTTAAACGCCCCTGCTTAAGCATATAGGTTTTGAGTGAAAAAAGTGAGATATGTAAATAAATAAGATATATATATATATATATATATATATATATATATAGAGAGAGAGAGAGAGAGAGAGAAATTACCGAAAAGGTTGAAGAATTTTGGAGTTATCAAGTGTGAAGATCAAAAGATCAAAATTTCAAATAATCAAAAATTGAAGATACCAAAAATAAAAAAAGGTGGAGAAATCAAAGATCAAATATCAAATAAGTGAAGAGATCCAAGAGCTTCAATGTGGTATCAAAAGTTGTAATTTCTAGATTATGTATGCTTGGGTAGCATTACAAAAATACCTCGAGGTTAAGAAAGATTTCTGAGGATTGATTTGGAGGGTTGCAAAAATGAATGCGGTATAAGCTAAGGGGTTTAGAATGGATTGTTTTATGCGATACTGGTAAATCAAAAGTAAGTTTGCTTGGGGGCAAGCAAAGGCTAAGTGTGGGGTATTTTGATATGTGTGTGTATATATATATATATATATATATATAATATCTTAATATTTTATCCTTTATTATTCTTATTTAGAACTAAAATGTACTTATAAAGCTTTGAATTATAATTTACAGCTATTAGTTTTCGATAGAGCAGAAAAGAAAGGATTAGAACGGAATTCGGGCTTAGAAGCAAAAAGAAAGAAAATTACTGAAGGCAGCCAGTACGCTCATGGTAGTGTGAGGTACGCCAAGCGTAATGCTGAGATGACAACTACGCCCAGCATAGATTCAAGAACGCTCAACCTACTGGGCTTGGGTTCGAAGAATGGATCGGGATGGCTTTCTTAGTACGCCCCGCATACACCGAATTACGCTCAGCGTATGTAAGTCGGTTCCAATGTTTATAAATAGTGAATTTCGGCCAACTAGAGAGGAGATTTCAACTACCATCGATCCTTAGTCGACAAGTAACACATATTTGGCTGTTTTGAAGGTCTAGAAGGCAGCCGGAAGGTCGTTAAGCTAATAAGAGTGAAGATCTGAAGGCTTAGAGAGCAGATGCGGGTCGATAATCATGTAGTTTTGTTATCATGACCATGTTTAGCATTCCATTGTGATACTACTACGTTTTTACTATCCGATTTTGGAATTAAAACCATTTGCTTTGTGTTTATGATTAGATGAAACCTTGATTTATGGATTAATTTGCTATATTGGATTG